GACTGAACCAGGTCTGTCATTGGACGATGTTGCTGTCTCCAATGATCAGCCAATCCCACCATGGCTCGTTACCATCCCCACCTGTGATATCTAAGGAAGATAGATACTCCCAATTGGAAGTACTGTCTTCTCTTTGCCAAACATCTTTTGAACCATTCTCCTGTTCCCGAAATCAGATGACTCAGTGGGCTTTGCCATGGTTTCTTGTGGCTTGGTAGCTGCTCACAGGATCCTCTCTACAGTTTCTGTGTTCACTGCTAAGTTGTATGCCATTTCTCTTGCCTTTGATCACGTAGAAGCTATGCAGTACATTGACTGTACTATTTACACTGGCTCTCTTAGCTGTCTACTGGCCATGGAATCACTTAAATTAATTCTCACCCTGTTCTCCTCGATATTCAAAAATGACTGGCCCATTTTTCTCTATGTCGGTATTCACAGGAATGAGCTTGCTGACACCGCTACTAAGTCTGTCTGCTCTGATGCAGTTACAGTCATGCCTGTACCATATATGGACTGCAGTCTTTTGTTCAAGGCTCAGCTTTGCGCCAGTTGGCAGTCAATTTGGAGTAAGCATAGTTATAACAAGGTTTTCCAGATCAAATCTTCTCTTGTTCTTTGGCCATCTTGTTTCATATGGATCGAAAGGAAGAATTTGTCTTGGCTAGGCTATGCATTGGTCGCAGTTTTTTAACCCATCACTTTCTTTTATCTGGGACTGATCCACCAATATGTGGTCTTTGTGATACATCACAATAGCCCACGTTTTATTGTCGTGCTGTCGCTATGTCTGTGAGCACTAGCACCATTTTAGACATGTAATTTCTACAGGTTTAGCCCTGACATTGGACAGTGTCATTGGCGATGGTGACCCTGGCCAACTTCATTGTGTTTTTAGCTTTTTATGGGTCATTGGCCTCTTTACATCTATTTGAGGTTTTGTCTGATTTTTGGACATTGTTTAGCTTTTAACTTGTTTCTTTTTACATTTTTCTAGTTTTACTTTTTATTCTTATGTATATAGCGGGTGTTTAGCGCAGATAGCCATTTTGCTTTGTGCCATAAAACACCAAACAACCAATCAGTGACTGACAAGAAATGTGGAAGTCATCATTAACATATAAGCTGTTTGAAACAGTAAGCAGAAAAGTGTGACTGACACTCAAGAAACAGCCCTGAGGGACTTCAAGTGCCTGTTTAAAAGAATGGGACAGGGTGGAATCCACAGGGTTGAGTAAAAGGTTATTAATAAAAATGGTTAAATGATCATGCATCCCATTGAAATGGACATCCCATAAAATACCATACAACCATGTAGTGTCGTAGGCCTTCTGAAGGTCAAAAAGAATGAACTCAAGATTCTCCCACTTGATAAAGGCTTCCCTGATGGAGATTTCAAAATGAATCAGGTCCACGGTACTGTCAACGAAATCCACATTGGGTGGATGATAGGTCTTTGATTCAAGGAATCACACAAGACAGGCATTAACCATCCTCTCCAAAACTTTACAGAGACAGCTTGTCAAAGCAATAAGACAATAATTAGAAGGAATCTTGGGATCCTTCCCAGGCTCTGAAAAAGTGATTACAATAGCCTTGTGTCAAGCATCAATAAAAATATTCTCCTGCCAAATATAGTTAAAAACAACCAGAAGAAAAGTAAGAGAGGGAGAAGAGAGATGGTGCAGCATCTCATAATGAATATTATCAGGTCCATCTGATGTATTGCCAGACTGATGAAGAGTAAGTTTATGTTCCACCAGTGTAAATGAACAGTCATAATCGTAGAGACAATCTGCCCAGAAAGAAAATAACAACTGCTCAGCCTGTCATCTGATGATCAAGAACGCAGGGAAAGAGTCAGAAATCCTGTAAAAGTACAAAAGCACTCCCCAAGAGTGTCAGCAATATCCTGAGCATCAGCTAGTTCCTGGCCATCAGAGATCATGATCAAAAGTAGGATGGGAAGCATACTTCCCACTGACCTTCCAAATCCTGTTCCAGACAACCTTGGAACTGATGGTAGAAGATATGCTGATAGAGAACTTAATCCAAGATTCCTTTTGACTTGGACATCTCACGAGCTGAGAATTGGCACAAGCCTTCTGGAAAGCAATGCAGTTGGAAAGAGTGGGATACCTGTGAAAGATATCCCTGTTTCTTTGTTTGTAATTAAGCACAAAGCTACATAATGAGCTATCTGTGCTCTGCCCACCACAGATGTCAACAGACATACTGCTGTGCCACTGGGGGGCTCGGGGACTGTCAAAGAAGAATAACATAAAAAGTGATAAAACATGACTAAAATTGATAAAGAAACCTTGAAAGAGCAAGACAAAGATCATAAATGTAAAATTCAGAAAACAAGTTTTCTAGTATGCAGATTAGAATTAACCGTTTCTAGAATTATATTAAAATCATTGATACATACTTGGCTTGCAACTGTTGTAAAAACTAAATCTACAGATGGTAAAAGTATCATGGTTAAAAACACGTTGGATTTTAGGATTAACACTAGTGAGATGAATTTAATAAAAATAATGCTAGATAAAATGATCCATTTGCAGGATTTATATGTGTTGATAAATAACTCACTTAATTGTGTGAGTCTTAGATAGTACCAATATTTTCTCTTTTCATTTTACTCTAGTCCTCCCTGGCTTTATGTTATTCAGAGCCTTAAGGCAAACGAATTTCGCCACTCCCATCAGTAACTGTAGATAATGCTTTGATATATTCAACGATACTTAATAACTGAAATTAACAGTACAGATAACGCAAGACAACATTTGTTCCACTTTTTTTCAGCTGGATTATTAGAACAATCAACCTATGAAATAATGAGAAGTATAGATCTTTAAACTTACTCATGCTGATGAGAGACCTTAAGTTACTAATTACACTGCATCACTTCTCATGTTTGGTCGGTGAATTTAAAAGAACTATAGAAATGTAATGCTAGCACTCTGATGTATTATATCAGCAGTTTAAACAGTGTCATTCGTTTGTGTTCAATTCATTTGAAGGTTATTTAGATATCATTTTGGGGGTGCTAAATTAATGCTAGAACCCCCAAGTATGAAATCGACAGTTGAAACCGTCATTCGCTTGTGCTCAAAACTCCCTTTTTTCTATAATGGACAGCGCCCTTAGGGCTGGTCTTGGAGTTTCGACTATACTGTAGATTACACAGTGGCGAGTGGAGCTCACAAGTCGCTAACTCGATGAGATTTACGGTTAGACTAAAGGAACTGATCCTGAGACTGATATTCAACACAATATATCAAGTGTATTTAAGTTTCTTAACATAAAATACACTTCTTTAATCATTTGTTAACTCTTCATAAAAGAGCACGTTTAGGTTAACAACACGAATAATTATAACTCATATATATAACATCAAGTTTCTTAACTTTCATGTGCTTCTTTAGAATCTATCCAAATCTACATTAACTGATTAAGAGATTAAAAGATTAATAGTTTCATTACTTACAACACAGTTGATCTGGTAAATCTTTACAGCTGGTACACTTTCATGTTCATAGCTTTTGGATTATCAGCATCTCTAGGGAGAATCACAATTCTTCCTGGAGAGAACTGATTTTTAGCTCCAGACATGAGTTTTAAAACCATATTTTCTTTTCATTCTTTCGACTTTCCAAACATTGTTCCTTAACTATCCATAAGTTATCCATGGCTATTCCAAAACAAGAACCAAAACTTTCAAGTAATTGGTTACTGTGATGGTGAGTACTCCGGTTGCCTTTTTACTTGTACTATTACACTGGTCTGGAGTAACAAATCTCGCATCAAAGCGCCGATTTGAGATTTTACCATAAATATTTTAGTAGCCTTTACTGTACTGCTAACTCGGCGACGGTAACTTATGACTGTCAAACTTATGGCTAGCGTTTTTTCTGAGTCTCTGTTACAGCTTCATTTTCTATAACTCTTAACTCGTGATTCTCAATATCACTTAACCAGCTAGCTGTACTTTCCCAATCTTATGACCATGTTACGTAGCTGGTCGTTTGTTAATTTCCGGTATAAATTCTCCCCGAGGAACTTCAGCGATACAAGTCCTTCCTTTAAATAAAACTAGTTTATTCTTTCTCAGTACAACTTTGCAATACACAGAATTTCCAAAGTCACTTTAACTTCAATACACGCTATAATTCACAACGATTCACGCACTTTACTAACGGTCACTACCGCTCACTTGACTCAATTATCTGTCTCTAT